TCTTGTTGGACTTGATCTGTAGTAAAAGATCATTATTTCTTTGTTTTCCATCACTGTGTATCTGCGACGGGTAAACACCTTTTCTTCCAGTAGTTCTGCAGCTGCTGGCCCTGGTTGCTCAGCCAACAGTCCTGAGTCCTGTAACCCATTTTTCACCAGATATCCAGGAACTCCAAAATCTATGCGCGGAACTTGTGACCCGGGCGACATCCGAGCCGGTATGGATTGTCTGAACACATTTATTTTAATTAATTATATTTACTTTATTATATTATGGAATCTTCGTCACACACCGGGTCAGCCGCAAAGTATGTTCAGATGATTGAGCACATTTTGTATTACCTTTTACCAGTCCTAACCAGGATCTGGGATAGGCCGAATGTGCGAACTATTTGGACGGGTATTAAAGATATTGTCACAGAATGAAGCGCAAGTTCCTAGGTAAGGCCGACCCATTCTTGCAATTGACTAATATTAGCGAATTGTGCAGGCCGAATGCCAGTGGTGTTACACAAAGGTGGTGCTTCAGGTTGTTATTGGGATTTCCACCCAAAGGAGCATATTACATATGGTACTACTTACTTGCTTTTGCCACCCCCCACCAACCCCAAAGGGGGGGGTTTTCTTTTTTTTTCTATTTCTATTTGTAGGTCTTTGTATTTTGTTATCTTCTCCAGTTCTTTCTCGTCTATTCTGCTGTCTCCAGGCACTGCCACGTCTACTATCCAGACTTTTTTGTCTTTCTTATCGACAATTGTTAAGTCTGGGGTGTTATGTGGCAGGTGCTTGTCTGTTTGAATTCTGAAGTCCCAGAGCAGTTTAATTTTATCATTTTCTATGACTTTCTCTATTTTATGATCCCACCAGTTTTTGCTTACAGGCAAATGATATTTTTTGCAGATCTTCCAATGCACCATTGTTGCTACTTTGTCATGCCGATGCTTGTAGTCAGTCTGTGCAATCTTCTTGCAACAGCTTACCAAGTGGTCCACTGTTTCTTCAGCTTCTTTGCATAGGCGGCACTTACTGTCTGTTGCTGTCTTCTCAATTTTGACTTTGTATGCATTTGTCCGTAAGGCTTGGTCTTGTGCAGCCAGAATTAATCCCTCGGTCTCTTTCTTCAATTTTCCTGCTCTTAGCCATGCTAAGGCAGGAAAATAATAAATAATAATCATAATAATTATCTTATTATTATTATTATTATTATTATTCATTATCCCACCAGTGAGGCACTACCTTGACGTGGTTGTGGGGCTTGTGTACTCTGAGGAAGATGAGAGCTATGCCAGAGGTTCAACCATACGGGACAGGTCTCATCAGAGGAGTCAGACAAAGAGTGTCTCTCCCATAAAAAATATGGTGAGACGTAAATTTCAGAATGCCATACCGGCTCGGACGTCGCCCGGGTTAACAAGGTCCGCACTAGATATTGGAGTTCCTGGATATCTGGTGAAAAAATGGGTTACAGGACTCAGGACTGTTGGCTGAGCAACCAGGGCCAGCAGCTGCAGAACTACTGGAAGAAAAGGTGTTTACCCGTCGCAGATAAACAGTGATGGAAAACAAAGAAATAATGATCTGTTACTACAGATCAAGTCCAACAAGAAGAGGATATCTAAAACGAATGCACCAGTTCTGGAAAGAACAACATCCAGAATCAGAAATAACAGAACAGAGACTAGCAGATCAACGGCGATTTATAATACGAAATAAAATATTCACAGAAACAGAATTGGACGAACTGCAAAGGTTTACCCAGGGCAAAGAAATCAAAGCCTTACCAGAAGTAATTCAGAATGTAGAGGCAAACCAGGGGGAGTTGGCAGTGAAGGAATCCAGCAGAGATATACAACTGTTCTCATTTGGAAACCAGCCACCTCTTCCTCAGGAAGAACAAAACCCTCTAACTAAAGAAATAAAAGAATTGAAACAAAGAATAACTGAGCATCTAGAACAGCACAAAAACAACAGAATAAGGCTACCTGCATTGAAGCTTGTTCCAAAGAAACAGCTAGCACAAGCATTAAAAGATGCAAATACTGCAATATCAAGTATAAGCACCAATTCACTGCAAGAAACAAAACAAATAATGTACAGCACAGCTGCAGTTATAACTGAATACCTGGGATGCAAAATCAACAAAGAAGAAAAACAAACAAACAGTGCACCACAAAAATGGAAGTTTAGACTAGAAAATAAGATCAGCAAGTTAAGATCACATGCAAGCAAGCTAGAAGAGATGAAAGAAAAGAAGCTGAAGAACAAGAAGACCAAAGAATACCTAATCAAGAAATACCACTTAGAAACAAGGAAGATCAAGGAAGCATTGGAAATAATAAAGCACCAAATAACAGCTATAGCCAGGAAAATCAGTAGATATGAAGCTCGAATTGCAAACTATAGGCAAAACCTCCAATTTCAATCCAATCAGAAACGTTTCTACAAATCCATCAATGGAGAAACTGCAAGGAATCAGTTAGTACCTGACAAGGAAGAAACAGTGCAATTCTGGAAGCAGATATGGGATAACCCAAAGAAATACAACAAGGAGCGGCTTGGTAAAAGAGGTGGATGCAACTTCAAAATACAGAAGTTGAAATGAAAGAACTAGTAATAACAACAACAATGGTAGAAAAAAAGAGCAAAGAAAATCAAAAATTGGTCAGCACCAGGTGAAGATGAACTGCATGGGTTTTGGTTGAAACATCTAACTGTTATACACCCACTCATTTCCAAGCAGTTCAACAATATACTACAAGGAGGAAAAATTGAAAAGTGGCTAACAACTGGGAAAACCTACCTAATAATAAAAAATCCAGCAAAAAGGGCAACACCAGGCAACTACAGGCCAATTACCTGTTTACCAACAACTTTCAAATTACTAACTGGTGTGGTAGCTGATGCAGTACAACAGCATCTAGTTGAAAACAATCTCTTTCCACCTGAGCAGAAAGGAAACCGCCCCAATAGCAGAGGAACAAAAGATCAACTCCTAATAGACAAAATGATCTTGGAAAACTGCAAGAGAAGGAAGAACAACCTGAATGTGGCATGGATTGACTACAAAAAGGCATTTGACTCTCTGCCACATGATTGGATAATAAAGTGCCTAGAAATAACAGGAGTCAGTAGAAACATCAGAAAATTTGTGCAAAGATCGATGGCACAATGGAAGACTCAGTTGCAGATCAATGGTGAGAGGCTGGGAGAGGTTAATATCAAGAGAGGAATATTTCAAGGAGATTCATTATCACCATTACTATTTGTTATTGCACTGTTTCCTCTGTCAACAATACTGAATAACTCAGGACATGGCTATCAAACATCAAAAACATCTGCCAGACTATCCCACCTCCTTTATATGGATGATCTGAAGCTGTATGGAAAAACATCATCTGAAATAGAATCGCTGCTCAACACGGTCCGTATATATAGCCAAGATATTGTAATGGAGTTTGGCTTGGACAAATGTGCCACACTTACTATCAAACAAGGAAAAATAGTGAAAACTGAAGGAATCAAGATGCCCCACGAAAATAACATTAAGAATCTGGATGAGGAAGAGTACTACAAATACTTGGGTATCCTTCAGGCTGACAACATCAAGCACACTGAAGTCAAGAAAAAGATTAGAAGTGAATACATCAAGAGAGTGAAGAAGATCTTAAAGTCCAAACTCAATGGAGGAAATACCATAAAGGCAATCAACACCTGGGCAGTCCCAGTCATTAGGTACACAGCTGGAATAGTGGACTGGACTCAAGCAGAACTAAAAGCAATGGATAGGCAGACCAGAAAAATAATGACAATGAATCACGCCCTTCATCCACGCAGTGACGTTGATAGACTTTATCTACCAAGGCAAATAGGTGGGCGTGGAATGCTACAAGTACATCAGATGGTTGAAGAAGAAAAAATGGCTTTGAAAGAATATCTGAAGAACAATGATTAAGATGCACTGAAATTAGTATATCAGGAAGGCTTACTAACTACTGGAGAGACCAAACTGGCCTACAAGAAAGACCAAATGAAGAACAGAATAGAGGCATGGGAAGACAAAGCACTACATGGCCAATACATTAAAAAAATAGCTGGGAAAGCAGATAATAATAAAACCTGGCAATGGCTAAGAGCAGGAAAATTGAAGAAGAGACCGAGGGACTAATTCTGGCTGCACAAGACCAAGCTTTAAGGACAAATGCATACAAAGTCAAAATTGAGAAGACAGCAACAGACAGTAAGTGCCGCCTATGCAAAGAAGCTGAAGAAACAGTGGACCACTTGGTAAGCTGTTGCAAGAAGATTGCACAAACTGACTATAAGCAGCGGCATGACCAAGTAGCAACAATGGTGCATTGGAAGATCTGCAAAAAATATCATTTGCCTGTAAGCAAAAACTGGTGGGATCATAAAATAGAGAAAGTCATAGAAAATGATAAAATTAAACTGCTCTGGTACTTCAGAATTCAAACAGACAAGCACCTGCAACATAACACCCCAGACTTAACAATTGTCGATAAGAAAGACAAAAAAGTCTGGATAGTGGATGTGGCAGTGCCTGGAGATAGCAGAATAGAAGAGAAAGAACTGGAGAAAATAACAAAATACAAAGACCTACAAATAGAAATAGAAAGACTGTGGCAAAAGCAAGCAAGGGTAGTACCAATAGTCATAGGCTCCTTGGTGCAATCCCAAAACAACTGGAGCACCACTTGAACACCATTGGCATTGACAAATTCTCTATTAGTCAATTGCAAAAGGCGGCCTTATTAGGAACTGCTTCCATCCTGCGACGATACCTGTAATACCCTCAAACATCCACATCTGCCTATCCCAGGTCCTGGGTAAGGACTCGATAGGTAGACAAAATGCCAAATCCAGTCTGAACATCTGGCTGACTGTGCGATGATCCATATAATTATTATTATTATTATTATTATTATTATTATTATTATTATTATTATTATTATTATTAACCAGTAAAGCCAGACGTATAGAAGAAAAGAATACATTTCAACCAGAAAATAAGAATAGAATCAGGCTCTGGCACCCATATAAACCAAACCTGTCTCCAACTGTAAAATAACATTTTTGATGAACCTTGAACTGTGAGTATTAATAGTATTAGTTAGTATTTTTAGATGAGCATAAATACATGGATCTTACAATCAACCATATTTGCTCCTTTGGATCTCCAGAAGGTTAAGTCCCCATTTACATCCCCTCTTACAGAGCTATTTAATATGACCAATTCCAGACTATCTTAAACTGGGCCAGTCAGAAGACTGCCATATTACAGGTTTTTATTGTCAAGCCCATAAAGGACATTTGAGGGGAGAGACTAATTAAAATGATCTTGTAAAAAATCATCTGTCTCTCCAGTATGAGCTACACAGTAAAACTGAGACTGTAGCTCTTAAATCTAGTGGGAAAGTATTCACAAGAAAAGACATCATGTAGAAAACGCTTACTGCCAAATCACATTTGTAAGGCAGAGGCTCAGTAAGAACATTACTAGCACATTTGGCTAGGTAGTTTCTGCTTGATGCAAACAGTTTCAAAGATAGTCAGGCTCCAAGCCGTATAGGAATTTAAAAGTGTGTGCCATCCTCTTGAATTATATCAGAAACAAATCATCACCCAATGCAGTTCTGCCAACATTTGTGTTTCATGGCAGTACTGGAGGCTCCCAGTTAACATTAAGTCCACTGCATTTTGTATTAATTTTATTTTCCAGGAAGTAAAGGGTAGCTTTGAATGTAGTTCAATATCATGTAAGGTGCATTATAATAAATCATCCGTTTCAATGACCAATTATGTTTTTGTGTCATGGCTGAAAAGGGTCTAGTCAATCCACTCCTTCCAAAGCTGTTCATAGTTTACAGTGATTTGAATATGCAGAAAGGTGTGTTCTCACCTCTGCATGAACATCCTAGACTTTCATATACAACATACTCGTTTTAAATTTTTGACTGAAAATTTATTTAAGAAAAGGTTTTATTTGTTTGTGAAAACTTTTAGGATTGCAGGTTTTAATCTTTTTGGTGTTTTAGAAATGTTTGATATAAATTGTTAATAGGTCATCTGGCAGGCTTTTATTAAATTAATTTATTAAATTATTTATTCTCCAGTACTTATTCTGTGGCAATCCTAAAAAGCTGTAGACAGATAACAATAAATTATATTATATAAATCAATAAAATAGAAATGTATAAACAGGGCACCCCAAAACAGCATACTACAGTATTTCCTTATGAAAAGAAATTTGTTTTAAAAGATCAGATTTCAAAGGATGGTCCATGTAGAATGCCAACGTTGTTGGGAGAATCAGCAGCAAGGAAGTTAATACATTTATATTCTCTCTCAGTGCATCTGTCTACTATTTCCAGACCTCATGTGTCCCAAATTGATCATTTGCTTTTTCATCCAAATCGTTTCTCATGTAGTTTCATAATGTCGAACTCTATTTATCAGGCCATTCTAAAATGTGTGCATACAGGTAAAGACCAATTCCTCAGTTAGAGTTAATTCATTGAAAGATAGCTGTCTAATATATTTTTAACTGAAGTATTTTTAATCTTACATAATACTGAATTTTTGGTTGGGGGTAGAGAGAAAGAGACAATTAATATAGAAAATGTTCTTTGTTTTGGAATAAATTGATCATTTTCTTAATAGAATTCCTGGTGGAAAAAAATGTAATAATGTGTTAGTATTCAACTTATTATAGCATTAGTTTTTCTTGGCAGCAAACTTCATAATCATACATAAACTGTTTGGACTTCACCTTAATTTATTTTGTATTGCTACCATATAGAATGTTTCATCAAATAGAATGAATTATTTGTGTTTTCACTATAGAACGATTATTTTAGATTATTATTTTTTAAAACTACATAATGCAGCATCATAATAGTTGAAGGCTTGTGAGATAAATTTATTCAGCATTTCGGGGTTTCAAGGATCCATAAATCATTTTCAGAATACTGTGTATCGAAGATTTTTCCCTCTCAATCAAAAGCTAATCAGATGAGATGTACTGAAGGAAATCTACGCAGGCTTCTCAATATGAGGTTTTTCAATGCCCCATTATAAATCCAAAGGAATCCAACTGTCCCTGAAGGCTTATTACAAAAATGAAGAACAAAACTGTGAACAAAGAAGAAAACATTAATTTGGGCTCAAGCTGTTATGACTTAGTACTGCAATTGGCCTCCTAAATCAGTAGAAAGTCACTAGAATGTGATTAAAGTTTAAATCATTTGTAGAGTGATTTTAATAAATGAAAATAATTAAAACATAGTTGATTATTTTTAAAAAAAACAATTTTAATTTGCAGATACCTATACACCTATTACTATAATAGGAAATTAAAAACAAAAATTGAAGCAGACTTTCCGTTACCAAACGGCTCAATTAAAGTACACATCTTTGTTTAACCAGTCTATTTTGCCACACATGAAAGAGCCACTTTCCTATTCTTAATGCGATTATTAGATTTATAGTTCACATGAAATCAAAATTCTTTTATTTAAAAATAATACTAAATTATTATTTACTTTAGCCAGAATTAGTGGACCCGTAAAGGCAGGAAGTGAGAAGAAGGAGGAAAATGCTCATGCTCCCAGATAGTTGAAGCATGATTTAGGGAACCAGAAAAGTATAGTCAAATTAGTCCAAGGAATGTCAGTTTTTACTGTTCCTTTTACTATGTAAATCAGCACAGTAAACTCTTGATTTAATGGACTAATAGTAACAAGAATGATTTCTAGACCCAAATATATGTTATATCTGATTGTATTATGCATGTAATTTATGTATGACAAAAGGCAAATGGATTTTAAACTCTTCGCAATATGCATTTATATTAATTTAATTAATTAATTAAAATGCAATGAAATAAAAACATTTAAAGTTATTTGATAAATATTGAGAATATTTATTTTCATTTGAACAAGTTTGAATGAAATTCTTGGAAAACCTTCTAATTCATCATCTGGGAATTACAGGAGTGAAAGTTCAGTACATTTGGAAAGATTTAGGTTGAAGAAAAGCCTTCTATTCTAAGCCTAAGCAAGTTTTCTCAGACTGAACATTAATCAAATATTTCCCTGCACTGCTTTTCTGTATTAATGCTAATATGTTTTCATCTGCCCTTGACAAACGCAACATTTTTATCCATGGTGACTATAAACTTTTATGTATATTTTTGTTTTCCTATATTGGAATGAGTAATCTTGTTCCTTTAAATGTCTCTATTTGACATTTAATGTCTCTATTTTTCTATTCTGCATTGTAGAGATATGTATTGTGCATCAAACTGACCTAAAGACATCTGTCACCTTCCAGTTTTTCTGCCAATCTAATTATAGGGCTTGTTGCCTTAGAGACCACTTGGCTCTATCATTTAAACATTCTTGCAGGAGAAGGTTTGGTAATCTCCTGGGAGAACAGCATTGACCATAAAGTTCCATTCTTACAGCTTTCCTGAGGATTTATTTTTACCTTACTATCTGATAACAGTGAAAGAACTATTAGACACACAATTTGAGTCTTGGGTCTCCAAAAGACTCAAAGATGGTGTTGCTAACATTTATAGCCTTGCTTCTTATCTCTTACATAAAATTATCTGAGGTATCTTGTGTCTTGACTCAGTACAGTACATTACTTCTACAAGTACTGGAATAATCCCATTCAAAAATTATTGTGCCAATGTGGATAAGGAGATGTAGAGTTAATAGCCTATATTTCTTTCTCCTATTCTGCTTATAAAGAAATTCATGCATTATGAATTATCCATATAGGCAGGGATCTCACATCTGACATGCTTTATCTTTGATAAGGCCAAAAATCAACTGTTTTCCTTAATACTGCTGAATTCTGGGCTTTGTTCATGGCATAATAAGTGATCAAAAGTTAATTAATGTTTAAAGAGGTTTAAGACCAAAGTTTTATTTTATCTAATTTATGTGACTGGTATTTTTACTTTAAAAATACATTTTCATACGTGACTTTAATTTAAAAATGGAAAAGTAGCATGTGCAAATCGAAATGGCAGAGTTTCATCCTCATTTTTATTTCAAAAAAGATTTTAGGCTTCATATAGATCTCATCAATGTGCCTAAACATATAAGAAAGTTGAGCCTCCCCTAGAAATGTAATAATTAAGTTGAGATTGGTAGAAAACATAAATAGTGCAGCTAAAGATTTAATGGGCAATATTCAGCTGCCTTCTGCTAAACATATTTTGTCATTGAACATGCAGCCTATCATAATAATCATTTTGTGAATAGTCAAATTACATAATATGCTCTGAACATTCTGAATGTTTCCACTAATACAAAATGATTTCCCACCATTGCTGAATTGGTTATAAAATTGATGCCATACATCAGTTGTTTTTATTCTATTGTAGTAATGAAGTTACTAGGTCAGGTGTAAGATTCTATTCCTCATGGATAAATTTGGCCGTAATATAGTCCACACTATGGATAAAATAAGAGGTAATGAATGCTGTCCTATATACAAACTCTCATTTAAGTAGATGCAGTAGATGATGAATAGAAGATAGACAGACAGATAGATAATGATATAAATGCATTTTAAAAGGCATTCCAGTTATCTTCTGCTTTAGCTACTGTAACATATGCAATAACCTTGCAATTTATTATCTTTTCCAATTGTTTCAAAGTATCTTTGTTAAATCACTTGTCCTTTTTAATTTGTCATACAAAAAACTGTCAAGTTTTTAAGATGTCTTTTAAACTGTCCACCTTCTGGATTTAATGATAGTTTAGTTCGCCTCATCAATAAATTTAAATACATGATAACTTGTATACTACATATCTAAAATACATTTGGAATAGTATGTAACAATGTATTAATTGTAATAACTTGGTGGCCCAGTTAGGGTACATAGGTTTTAGATAACCTATTGATATTTTATCACAATTAACAGACTTCATTTCTTTTTGCTGACTTGCAAGAATTTATAAGCATCATTAGACAAAGTTTAAAAAGAAAATCATAAATGGTAAGCCAGAAAGTTAAAGGCATGAGTTAATAAAAGTAAATAAATTCAGGCAATTTAATGTATAACAAACAACACATTCATTGTTACCTCCACACCCTCCATTGCTGTCAATGATATATTTCAACCATGTGCTTATAATCCTTCATACAAGATCTTTTTTAAAAAACACATATTTCTGTTTGTTAAAAACCTCATCAGTTCTATCCAAATACCATGTTCTTGGTCTTCCTTTTTCTCCTTCTTTTTCCTCTCATCCTAGTCACATTTTATGTACAGTACTTGCTTTCTGATTTTGGCTTTATATATTATCTAGATATAACTAGATCACTCCACGTTTCCTTAAGCAGATCACTTAACATTCATTCTTGATCCTTGACACACACAAAAGCTTCATTCTAACCGTTCAATGTACTTTTAAGTTTCCCCTGACATATCTAACTCTTTCTCATATAACAAAGTAGGCAGAAGCATCTCTTATATCTCTTTTCTCACTTTTAATGATATTCATCATTAAAAGACTACATTCTACCCACTACTAGCATTTTCACATCTTAAAATTTTTATAATTATAATGGCTTAACTCTACCATTTGAATCCAAACAATGTTACTAAAACAAATTTCATCTTTTTATTTATTTTTCAAATTTATATAGCTGCCCATCTCACAAAACAAATGATCCTGAGCAGCATACAACAAGATGATAAAAGATCTTTGTTAGAAAATGATGAAATCGTTAATTATGATAAAAATTGTTAATTTCTAACTTCCTTGCTTAAGACTGTCTTAGACAAACACAGAATAGCCTCTGTATTCTTTATTCAATATTTACTATTTAATTTATTTGATTTACAGTCAAAGCTACCCAAAAGCTAACTGAGAGTAATTTTGTATATAGCAAGTAATAATAAATGGAATTGAGCACAAAGAATGAAGTATCTCATCAATAGAGGGGAAAAAAACCAAGAACAAGAATCTTCCTTAAGGCTATTACAAATGACCAAATGTTTTTGTTGGAGATTGTATAAATCTCTGTTTCCTTCACAATTGTAAAGATAGACCCTGTGTCTGCTTTGTTTTGATGTATTTCATAATACAATATACAACAGCTTATTCAGAAAACTTCAGAGAATAATTAATTTCAACAACACTGTCTGTAGCATTAATCAACGAAAGGTTACCATCTTTTACAAGGCCTATTTTCTAGTATTCAGTAAATTGAGTTTTAAAAGAATTCCTATAAATGTGTGACAATACGTTTTATAATACTTTTCCACATTCATTATAAAACTGATGAAATTCTTTATGTACATAAAAAATATTAGCCATCTATCCATTAAACCTGAAAATAGGTTAAGACTTTATAATAAATTATTTGGTGTCATGTCTTACCTTGCAGTACTGGGTACCAATGTATTTATTATTCACCTGAAAACACTGCCAAGGCAAGAGAAGTTCTCAGTAACATCAATCAATTACAGCCTCTCATTTCAACTCATGCAGACATGCTACTTAATTCAGCCAGACAACAGTTGCCAGAAAGCTTGAAGAATTCCTTAAAGATGCTTTCAGAAACTGTAAGTTTCAAAAAATAATCCCTGCTGTGGAAACTAAATTATTAGATGCCCAGATATTGCTATGGTCTGTGGAATCTGTATGAGGAACAGTTGACTTGGTTACAAGCTTCAGATGATTATCATATTTTTCTCTTCCCTGTTTGGACTGTTATTAAGCAATTTTATGGATATTAAACTTGATGCTTTTAATATAAAACAGACAAGTCTGTATCATATTACATTTAAACTAGCAACTGATGAATAATAAATCATTACTATTTTTGAAGAGTGGGAGCTCTCATTTTTATATATATCATTATTAGTGTATTCCTCCCTATCTTTATAATTTATATATTTTATTTGTGCCTGATGTATTGTGGCATAACCATAAAAAAGGAAAATTAAACTATGATGGAGAAACTACTTTTAACTCTCGTGTTATAACTTTGAAGTACCGTTTATTGTTAAGCACATTGCATACCCATATATTTTGTTTTATACAAATCTTGGCCTTTTCTGTTTTATCCACTAAACAGAATTTGACATTTTGAAATTCAGACATCTTTTGGTTTATTGGTCTTTAGAATAAGGAAAAGACAAAATGCAGAGCCTCTAATATACTCATTTGCCAGTAACTTGTAATGACATGCATCATATTTTAATGGTATGAAATTATAAATTTGCATTTGAGATAATGAAAATCACCTGGACTAACAATCATTGATAATCTAATGCCTATTCCCCATTAGTTAATATATCTGATGGTATATGATTTCTTTAAAAGATCAATTATGTGTTATGTAAAGGAATGTTTCCATTTACTAGTTATGAATTCCTCCAGATTTCCAATTAATATTTCTGAATTATTAGAGTAAAATAAGGAAGAAAATTTTCCTATTTATATTTTCCATATCAACCATTTTATCTACTTTTAATATATCCCCCACTCATGTTTTCATTATGATTAATTATTAAATTTATGTTAAACTTAACTGCACACTAAAAATCTCAACCTGTACAGGTTTTTTTTTTCAGGAAACTTCTCAAGGACTTTATATGATTTTGGTTGCTATTTCCTCCAATTTATCATGCTCTACAGCAACCTTTTAATATTTTTGAGATGTAGTAGCCAGAACTATACAGATAGTCCTCCACTTATTACCACAATTTAAGTAGAATTCTGGTTGCTAGGCAATGTGGCTGTTAAGGGAGCCATCACATGACTGGACCTAATTTCATAACCATTTTACTGCAGTCGTTAAGTGAATTATTACAGTCATTATGCGAATCACATGGATGTTAAATGTATTACACATTCGTTATGTGATTCATGAGTGTTAAGTGTATCACATGACTTTGTTTATTGGAAGCCACCTGGCAAGGTCACAAATTGTGATCCCATTGACCACAAAACACTGCAACCAGTTGCAGTCATTTACCAAGTACCCAAATTGTAACTATGGGGTAGTGCAATGGCTATAACTTTGAGAACAGGTGTCACTTTTTCAGAGGCCATCATGATTTCAAAATGTTGTTAAACAAATGGTGGTAAGTTGAAAACTATCTGAATACTGTAGTTCAAATGCAGTCTTGTTATGCTTTTGCCTCCATTTAGTTCCTTATGAGTCTAAATATTTACTTTTTTTGACAATGACCACACAAAAGATGTTTTCTTGACTCTACAACATAAATATTCAAAATAAGCCTCACTGAGTTTGATAGTGTTTATTCTTATGTAAAAACAGAGATTTTAGTCTTAACCTTCATAATATCCATTGGGTTGTACAAGCTTTGAAAAAGATTTTGAAGAAGTACTTTGGACCTTATGTAAGATCAGCACTCTCATATGTCTGGTTTCCATGCAAGCATGAGAAAAAAATTCAGTTGTTTTAGGAGGTTGACATTAAAGTGAATGCAACTATTAAAGCAAACACAACTTTTTTCAGTGTCTGAACAAAGCTAGTAATGAATAGCAGAGTTATCCTGTGCTGATGAGAAATCCAAAACACTTCTAAATCATGTCTTGAAGCATGAATAGTCCCAATTTTCATACATAACAAAAATTAACATAAATAAAAATGAATTGTAGACTAGGTTCTATTTCTATTTGTATCCTGCCAAATTGTGTTTAAATTAAGTGAACTTTCTTAGCTATGGAACAGTGTACAGTGGCTTGGTTCACATAACTCATTTAAGTTTAGAGCCATGATTTATAAGCCACAATGACAGGGTTCACACAGCACAGATCCAGATTCAACAAACCTTATAGAGTCCGCATGAGAGCCAGAAGAGTATATTTTATTATCTTAGTTCTGAGACTGCATTGCCTACCTTTTGTTGATTGCACACTCATCTTAATTTTAGACAGAGTTATTTGTGCATGCCTTTAAGGATCAGCTTATCAGAAGTGCCCTTTTAGCTTTATACACAGCCCGTCCTGGTTGTGTCTTAAAAAAACCAACTTTGCCAAGGAATAGCGCTGAAGAGAATAGTGAACAGGAAAATCAGGATCATCTATCACAAATCAAGAGACAGGATTCCATACCTCACCACTCAGAATATGATGAGGAAGAGTGGGTAAGTAACCTCAAAATCCCATTTTTGCTTTCTACCTTTTATTCAATTGTAAAGTATTTGTATTTAAAGAGTTAGCCATATCAATAATACTGGATTCTTGTGAGACTGAAGAAATAATTGACAGATTTTTCATGAAGAATGTGTGCTTCAGGTATAGTATGCTTCATGTAATGTTAAAGTTAACTTTTATTATGCCTTCATTAACATATTCATATTCAGTAAGTATTTTAACTTGAATGCTGATACCGTACACTAGTTATAGTTTGCATTTTTTCTATCACTAATTTAGAAATATACTGTGAAGAAAGAGGATTTCAGCAAGACTAAATACATATGGTTCAGAACTGTGACAACTTCTTTTTCTAATGTAACATGCAGTATTTCAAGGATTACTAGTACTTCTGTACATTAAACAAAATACTTTATTTCATTACAACTTCAGTGGTTCATCTTTACTCATTTTTATTCTTTTCTTCTTGCATATATTCTTTTCATTATTTTTCTTCTGCTCATCAGGAGTTGTCTCCTAAACTCACTAAGCTAGTTATTACTCCAGTATAGTTATTACTCCAGTGTTCTAATCCTCATAATTTTAATATATGTACACATATACATTTCAGAATTGTGAAGTGAAAGCTGGCCATGAGATTTCATCTTCTATTCCAGTAAAAAGCCAGTTAAGCAAGAAAGATCCAAATATTGGTACTATTCTGTCTCAGATCCAGGAAAGAAATGTAAATAGCTTCTGATCTACTTTGAATATGCAGAGGGCTTGTAGTTTTGTTTTATTTAAGTGGTTTTTCTTCTTTACAAAATAGCATACTAGAAAATCCTGTTTATTTCTTCATTTTGTATTATAAAAGTCTGTTTAGCGTTAAATTAGAAGAGTAAATACAGTATGTCCTAGCATACACATTTGTTTGTCTTATTTAAATCATGCTAATTCATTTTATAAAGTATAGTCTGAGCAGAAGTTCTTAAGCAGAACTATTTCCAATCCTCTCTCCCTTTCTTTTTCCACTAGCTAGTTGTCTTTGAGATTATTTTATTCTGGACACATTCACTCTCCCTATTTCCCTCATTACACTCATAGTGTCTATTTAAAAGTAAGTCCCACTGAGTCCACAAATACACTAACATCTATTTTCAGATTTCAGGATTACATATCATAATTTTGATTTGTCAAGATTGTAAACATGTCTTCATAATAGTTTGAAACGTATTTTGAAAGACCATCACTCCACAGATATTTATAGTTTTCTATAATAAGTGAGTTTTTTTTTTCTGCACTTGCTATTACCAATGGGTTCTAGCTGGGCCTGTTAAGTTACAGCAGCCAATGACATAGCAAATGGCACCTGATGTCAATTGGCCCAACAGCTATGATCCTACTGAGAAGCTGAGGTGACTGAAAGACTCTCAGGCTTCAGATAGACTGTAATGATCAGGAAGAATATATACAGATGGAAGAACACTATTAATGCTCTTCAAAGATGAAGAAATAAATGGAGACCTGAGTGGAAATCACTATTCTGCGCAGAGAGATTGGATAATCATATCACTTTGGGATCTGATGGACGCAGGGTGAGGAGTATGTGTGTAAAATAGAAGCATTTAGTAGAGGAAGTGAACAAAAAACAAAAGAAAAAAGTTTGTGGGAAGTGAGGGTAGAGTAGACTTGTTTGAGTAGATTGGTCTACTTAGATATGGACCAGGATTATGGGATAGATGAGAAGAAGTGCTTTGGGCATAAGGGCAGTTTTCTCTGCTGTAGAAGGGATCTATGAGAAATCTGGGGAATAGAGGATAACAAGAAGATTTTTCAAGAGACTTATAGAAAGAGATGTATAGGGCAGATTGTTCCAGGGGAAAGGCACCTTACAGATTGGTTCTAGTCACTACTTTTAGCTCAGTGTCCCAGTCTAGGTGCCCAGAGTGGCAAAAGTATTTGGTCTGTAAGTACCAGGATTATTGTTGGATGATAAATCTTTTATCCATTATTTACCATAAATAAATAAATAAGCAGACCTATATTACTCTATATATCTTGGACTATATA